CACTCAAATATTATGTTTTATTATGAGATAATATTTGTAATTTTTCTTAATTAATACATAAAGTATTGAGTTATGTTCAGGTTAACGATGATATATGTCCTTGAGGTATATAAATAATATAAATACATATAATCATAATATCTTATGAAATAAAAAGGACGTGGATGCTTCCCTCCAACCCAACATCGGATACCACAACATTTACATCTTCTTTACGAGGATGGCCCCAACGCCAACATTTTTAAATACATTATTGTTTCTCCCTCTCTCTCTTCAATCTCCATTTTTTAAGTTTCATTATCAATATTCAGTACTTGTCATTCTCTTTTAACTTTAATTTCTCCATTTCAACCAACTTTGGTGTTACGACCCTTTCAATTTTAAATCGTGGCTTCAATTTTGTTTTTTCATTTATGCCGCAAATTTGGATTTATTCTGCACCAATAGCAAAAACTAGCAAATATATATATATAAATTAATAATTATTTTTGTTCATATTCTCACCACTTTGTTATTTTGGTATTTCTACTCATTTTGGTCTTCATACTTTGAAAGTATTCTCGGTTTAGTCCATATACTTTTCAAAAATCTAATCTGATCCCCATAATTTTAAGAAGTAATAGATTTGGTCATTGTAGGCAAAATTTTAACAAATTAAAATTTTTAATATAAATCCATGAGACTATATTTTAAGAAATTTATTGGATGTGTGTCATGTTGACATTATGATAAAAATTAGATAAGATACCTTTTTTAAAAGCATAGAGATTATAATAGACGTTTCAAAAGTATATATGTTAAAATGGATAACAGCAAAAAGTACGAGGATGAGGATGAGGATGAAGTTAGTATTTATTGTTATTATTATTATTATTATTATTTGCATGCTCGAAATAGTTACCAATTGTTTGGCCCAGTAAAATTGTTAACCTGGCCCACCTAAAATAGCCCACTTTAAATGTTTGGGCCTAATTAAAGGTCCTTCTTCAAATCATAATGGGCGAGGTAGCCCAGGATTTCGTGGAAAATCCAACAAAACTCCAACCAGCTTGCAAGGAAGGAGAATAAAAGTAAACTATCTTATAATATTTACGAGATTTAATTTTGGAAAATAGGCTTATAATGTGTTACCTTTATTCTCCATCCTTTTTTTTTCTCTTTTTAATACTTGCCAAATAATATTTGGATTTTGTTATTAAAAAAAAGTATGCCAATCAATTAGGTAAACCAATGTTCTAAAAATAATGAAAATTAGTTAGTCGACAACTTCTAATTTATTAATCTATTTTGATTAGATAAATCAATTATATACTAATATTAGTACATGATATACGTAATTTAAATTTACCATTGGCTTATTTTTGTAATTATTTTATAAAATGCACTTGTTGGAGTATTAATTGTTCAAAACATAAACAAAATTGATCTGAGATTAATTTACACCAAACAAAATATATCCTTAATCAGTGAGCTACTTTTACATGTGTTTTAATCTTCACTTACATATAAAGGTTAAAAAAAATCACACTTTTTTCAACACAATAAATATAGGGATGGAATATTGAACTTTCGACCTTTTCTGTATGTTCATATTCGCATATGATTTAACGTTAAATGAAGTCATTCTCGTCAATTTTCAATATATTACAAAATGTAGGCATTTATGTTAATGTTCATATTTTTTAGAAAATAATCAAACATGTGTTAAAATTACGTTAATTTAATAAACTAAACAATTGATTTTTTGTTAAAAATAATAAAATTAAGCTGATTTAAGGTTTCAAAATCTCTCTACCTTGAAAACTTATTTTTTTAGCAATATATAATTAGAAATTAGGAGTTTTATAAGGAATAATGAGATAAAATTAAACATAAAAAAATTGGGTGATTTAACTGATTATGATGTGTGTCTGTAAGGTAGAAGAATATTTTGGAACGCTAATTGCACGTGGCATTCCACGTGCAACTTGAACGACTCTTCAGGTAATGTCGTTTGCAGGTAAAGGAAGGATCGTCAATGAAAAAACGACATAATTAATATACTTTGGGAATATTCGTTTAATTAATTGATTAATTATGAGTGTAATGTAGTGTAAGTCATACCATACCCCACCTGGATGCATAAATATTAATTCGATCAAGACTCTTAAATATTATTAATTATGAATTTAAAAAAAATATATTATTGATTATTACTATTATTTATTTTATTTTTATTTTTGTTGGGGGAGGAACCCAATGAAACACATCTCCCAAAATCTAGTAGGCAACATGACCTTGACCAACTATTATTTACTCATGGAGTACCAATTTAATATTTATATCTTGCTTGTAGTAATTCAATGAACCTCTCCTTTGAATATTTTAAAATTCTAAATAAATACTTGTATGATTCGACTCACCACTAGTTCGGTATACTCGTACATGATCGAAATAATTACTTCAAAAACATCACTTTTTTTAGTACCTCTTGAAACATCACATGACCATCATGTGACAAATCAAATCAATATATATATTTTTTCTACTTGTACAATTGGATTCAAAAATACCCATGAATCTAGTTATACCAATTTGAGACCAATGCAGTAACTTGAAACACGATCTCTTAACTTGAAATTTATTTTAATTGCTGATATAATAGCTGACACAAAGTTATTAAGAAAGATTCTTCTTTCGATGGTGATCCATCATGATATCCATAGCGTTAAATCAGAACAACTTTCTACTGGAGAAATACATGACCGAATGATTTTTCCCATTAAATCGCAATTTCGTTTTTCTTTGTCTTAGTTTACGCCCCAGGTGAAGTACACAGCCACATTTTCTGATTCTAATGGTAGCAGTTGCATAATAAGCTATTGGGATTAACCATTTTCATTATTGTTATAGTTGGATTGAGGAAGGAAGATATAACATTTCTATTTCGAAAGATTCAATGTAGACATAAGTTCCCTTACAACTACGCCTTGTTACGACTTTATCCCGAATGAAGACTGGTTGTTACTTTTGTTTTGTGTAATTTTTTTTAATGGAATCATATAAACTATTGAAAGTCACTGAATGTTTCGAGAATTACAAATAATATAGCTAATTGGAGTAAATAGTGAGAAACAATCATGTAATAAATTAGGTTGATGTGCAAGTATTTCGTTTTCTTCAAGGGATTCAAGCCCTCTACAATGTGTATTTCTTTATCAACCACCAATGTCGCAGATATTCTCTGTATCTCAAACCATCTTGCAACTAGGAAGTTGAGCTCAAGGCTCCACAACATATCACCTTATTTCGATGATTTATATATATATATTTAACCTATTTTATATACTTCATCAATGAAAAATACTAACGAGCAACAATCATATCTCTATTCATTTATTTATTTACTTTTTGAGAAACATGCATATTTTTATTTTTCCTTACGTACATGTATATGCGATCATGTCTATTATAACTTAAATGTTTGCTTATATTATTATTCATTTATCTCTAATGAACTGTTTAATGTTGTTTCAAACTGTACTAACTGTAAGAACAAGAGGTTGTTTTGTAATTAAGATATTCACTATATTTCTTCTATAAAATTTGAGTAAATTTGACTATAATAGTTATAAATATATTTTAGTATTTTTACTTCAACTTAGCTGGCAAATATCTATATAATTTGATTTAACCAATAGCAGATCTTTTTTCATTTAAAACAACTATAAAGCATATCTTCTCATATAATATAATACAGAAAGTTAGAACATATAAAATAGAAAATTTTGATCAAATATCTTACTATATATGTTATTAATAAAACCTTGAACGGAAAATAGGTACATAAATATATATATTTTTTAATAATACTAAAATATGGTTAGAAAGGGAGACTCTTTTGTCTCTAACCATAGATGATAATGTAATTTGATGGAATAACTAAGTACAAGAGAGTGTATTATCAAAGTTTTGTGACTTGCAACACAAAATAGATTATTGAGTTCATATTACGAGTAGATAGAGTTGAAAATTATGATTGTTAAATCAGTTAGAAATTGAAATTATTTGATAAAGTAAAATTAAGCAAATTATAAGATAAGAGAGCGAATCCCCCGCATTAAAAGAAGAAGACTAACGAATCATCATTTACGGTAATGGAAAGTGTCATAGATCGTGGATAAGGACCATACTATCATATCGAAATTTTTACAGGGGAAGACGATGGCATAGTAGGTCAATATTATATTTTTATTGGTCATGGAGTTTTTTGAGCATGTGCAAATATGACACTGATCAGCATCCTATTAAAACGACTGAACTCCAACGTACACAGGAAAATATGTACCTTATTATTGAGGCGATGTGTAAGGTTAAGGTAATTATAGGCAGCTACCCTAAACCGAGATAGAGATAAGATTGAGTCAGGGCATTTAGAAGGCGATCACAAAACCAAAGAACCAAACTCATCTAGTTATTAATTAGTTATGAGTATGAATAGAGTAGCAATTAATTAATTGGAAAAAAGAAATAAAAAAAGAAAAATTGGTTAGGATTGGACAGTACATAATTTTGGGGAACCCTAGGTAAGGTAGTGATTTGAAAAGCAGAAATGGCAGTACAAGTTAAGTTATTATTTTATGGGCATTTGTCAGGTGACTCAATTTGTAATTTGTAAATGGAGATTAAATTAAACTTTTTTACATTTAATCCTCAAATCAAATCACAATTTACAATTGTTCATTCTCCATTGCTCTGCAACTAAGCCTAATTCAGTTTAGTTTCAATTAAATTTAATTTATAGAGTCTGTTTCTCTCTCCAGTGTCCAGCGAGTAACGACAACAATTCTGGAAAGTGGAAAATGGTCAGCTACAAATTGAGGGAGCTGGAAATTTGTGAAAGGAATTAAAAACAACACTCACACACACACACACACACACAGCAGAGAGCAGTGAGCAGTGAGCAGTGAGAGAGAAAAATGGCGTTTTAGGGTTTCGTCCCAAAAAGGCACATAGGGACTCTCATTTCGTCAGCCCAAATTAATTTAAATACTTCGTCTTCCTCTTCCTCTGCTGCTGGGTGCTGCCTAAGCCATGATGAGAGCTATAGCCTAATCTAAACCGCCTTTCCATACTGAGCCTAAACTCTCTAAACACAAAAAGTGGGCAGAGCAGAGATATGGTTAGAATGAGAGAATCGTCATCGACGTACGGCGGCGGCGGCGGTGGCGGTGACGGAGGCGACGAGGAGGAGGAGATGATGATGATGATGATGATGAAACCTGCATGGCTGGAGGGGCTAATCTCCCACACGTTCTTTGGTCCATGTTTGGTCCACGATTCCCGCAGGAAGAACGACAAGAATGTCTTCTGCTTGAGCTGTTGCCTCAGCATTTGCCCTCACTGCCTCCCTTCCCACCGCTCTCATCCCCTCCTTCAGGTACCCTAATTTTTCTCTCTCTTTCTCAATTCAATTCTTTTCCCTTCACACATTTCCATTTCTTTTTTCTCGGCTCCTCAAATCCGAGAATTGGGACCTATTTTTCTTGAATTTCTTAATTTCTTCTAATAATTCTTCTCCTACCTAGCTATGTGCTTGTCCTGTTCAAATTTCTAATCTGTGAGTGAGTCACAGTGGGATATTACTAGCTTCAAAGTTCAAACATTGCCTCTCTCTCTCTCTCTCTCTCTCTCTCTACATTTTATTTGGGTTCTTGAAAAATGAAAAAAGATTGTATGTAGTGTAGTGCAGTGCAGTCCACAGATGGGTTAATGATGTGTTGCTTGATTCCCACTTTTTGGATTTGGTTCCATTCCCATTTATGGAACGAGTCTTCTTTATCCATTTTTCTTCCTTCTCACCTGTTGCTTTCAAGGAAACCCAAACTTTGACCCAACTTTCATTCACCCCGGCCCCCAATTGTCATCATTTCTATATGCCATTTTCCCCCAACAACTCACTTTCAAATTTATTTTCTCATCACTCCAAATTTATTTTTCCCACCTAATTTACCTTCACCCTTCTTTCACCAAATTAACAACATATACAAATAATTAAGATCAAGATCAAGGGGGTGCAATTAATAACAGAAATGTGATTGAATTCGACAGATTCGACGCTATGTTTATCACGACGTGGTTCGGCTTGGCGATCTTGAAAAGCTCATTGACTGTTCTTACATTCAGGTTAAATTTGATTTAGATTTTAAAGTACTTACACACAATGTGCTTTGCCAAATGCCAAAATTTAATTTAGATTTGTGTTGCTTTGGTGCAGCCTTACACTATAAATGGTGCCAAAGTGATATTCTTGAATCACCGGCCACAGTCTAGGCCTTGCAAAGCCCCTTCCAATGTTTGTTTAACTTGTGACAGAATTCTTCAAGACCCTTTCCACTTCTGTTCTCTCTCATGCAAGGTACTGAATTTATATGTGTAATGTATAATAATAGATGCAATGTTTTAATTCTGAAAAAAAAAAGCCTGTTAATCAGTGCTTACTTGATCAAATTTGCAATGATCATGGAAACCCCAAGTCGGAGCGGGAGATTCGAACCACGAACGGGTTGTTTAAACTATAGGCATTGATTGATAGTAGAAGACTTGTTTTTGCTGTTCTTTTTGTGAAAGTGTGATTGTATTACAAAATGCAGGTTGATCATATGGTTTTTGAAGGGGCAGACCTATCAAGTATTCTGTTCAGGTTCGACGAGTCAGATTTTGCTTTTTCACAATTCGAAGGATTACGAATGGATGGCTCCGAGGTCACCGATGACGACGCCCAAATCGCTCCGAACTTCGACTCGTTGCAATGCAAAGGTTTGTCTTACTCAACTTCCAACGAGGCCACAAGCAATTCGGTACTCTCACGAGAACCCGAGATTGCGATGAAGAAGAAGAAGAAGAGCAATGGTTTCCTCCCCGGAATCGTTCTCTCTCTCGGTAATCGGAGAAAGGGCGCTCCTCAAAGGGCTCCGCTGTCTTAATTAGATTTATGCGAAAAATAAAAGTAAAACAAAATAATTTAGGAGTTAACGAAGAATGTTAATCACTGGTTTAAATTTGAGAAAAGGATAAAGGAAAAAGAAAGATATGTTTGTTGATTGTTAGGAGGAAGTTGTGTTACGTTGTTTAAGGTTGCGTTGTGTGTGTGTATCCAAATCCAATGTGATTTCGAGGTTTAAAATTGATTAGTGTTGTGTTGTGTAGTCTTGTCTTGTCTTGTCTTGTCTTGTCTAGACAACATATTCAAAAACAAGAAACTAAGACCAATTCCATTGCCATAGGCAGGCGGTTTGAGAACTTTGCTGATCTCAACACCCACCAATTTTGTGCTTCATCATGTAATGGAATTGACCTATATTTATATATAATATATATGATGTATATATAAATGCCTTCAGTTTCAAGTCTCCATTCTCTATAGTTTTCATATAGAATTTTGAAAATAAAATAAAATGATAACAATTAGATTTTGAAAACGCTTTTTTTAGGGTCGATTGCAAAAACAAGAAAAGCTAATAGAGTTTACCAGCAACATTATTAGAAATAGAAAATGAAAAAGTAATGAAAGAACATGGACGACGTGGGTACAATTAACAATTCATATATAAAATGGCATACACAAAAAGTTAGAAAATATAGAATAAAACCATGCTCATAGCTCATAGTTTATAAGCTTCACAAGTGACGAAAAGGAAGAGTTGTTGAATTGCAAAGATGATAATGAGAAAAAGGGTTTAATTGTAATAAAAAGAAGAAAGTAGGTGGTGGAATTTGAATTTGTCGTGTGAGAGTCTTGGTTATGTGTGTGTCTTGGAACTTGAAGGCTATGGATGGGATGAGATGGGATGAGATGTTAGGGTTTTTGAGTGAACACCAAACAAAAACAAAAACTTAGTTATGGAGACGGACTGGGATACCACCCTTCCTTCGCCACTAACTTTTTAATAAATTAATAAATAATAAATGCCTCTTTATTTTCAAAATTTCTATTTTAGGGAATGGGTTTTGACTTGCCTTCTGTCAGTTCCTTTTTAACTTCTGTCTCATTCTCAACTTGGGAAAAACCCCTTCATTATCTCCGAAATAAAATCTTCAACTCTAATGCCATTTTCAATATTTTCATATAAATTCTGGACCAGTTTTCGAGTTAGATACTAAAAAGTTATGCATATAACATAGAATACAAATTTTTTTTTTATTTTTTTTGAGATATTTAATTTCTAGCTGCAGAGGAAAGTAGAACATTTAAAACTTAAAATACCAATAATACAATACATAAATAAGATTTTAAAGTCATAAATCTTCATGAGAGAGAGAGAGAGACATGATGCACATGTTAAGGCTGACAGATATTTAACGTCTCTCTCTCTCTCTCTCTCTCTCTCTCTCTCTCTCTCTCTCTCCCCTACTGCAGCAACGCCTATAACTTAGGGTTATTATATACTACTAGCCGTAAGCGTAACAATTCATTTTTCCGTTTTTGGTGTATCTGTTTTATTATGGAGCCGACTGAAAATGTAACAAAATAATGATAATCATACACTCATGCATAATAACTCAAACCAATCACCAAATAAAATTAAAGATATAATTTTTTTTTTGTCATAATATATATCTTTAATCAAAAGATTGTAAATTCGATTTCTTACTCTCATGTTTTGTACTGTAAAAGAAGTAGGGGAGAACGCGAAAGGTTTACCATTAATTTGTGAGATCTGAGAGAGGTAATTTGTAAATCTTTGTCCTATATGAGAAATAATATTTATAATGGACGGCGGAAATTTGAACGGAGACTTTCAAATTTAATGGAAAGATAGGAGAGATTATGACACGTGGCAATGTAAATGGTGGGAATATCACGTGACATGTGCATGTCGCCTTAATTCCAGCATCCATTTGAACCTGCCTGGCATTATTTTAACAGCTGTCCTGGGGTTCTTCCACGTGGCACCTACACCCCTATCCCATTTCACTATCAACTCTTATTAATTCATTATATTAATAACATCAACAGGACAATATTCGAATTTATTGTAGTTGTTTTGTTACCAACACTAGATACAATATCCATAACAATTTAATTAATGGCAAAAAATTAAAATTAAGGAGATGAAAACTACAAGATTTTATATCTACATCATAGGTTAAAAGAATTGTTTTCATTAATTCAAACTCGAACCTTTGTAGTCCCCCCTTTTAAACAAACAAATAAAATAAGAAAAACAATTGACAACTATAAAAAAAAACATTAATTTTGAGGTTTACATCAATAGAATCTAATTATCAAGATACTGAGTCTGTTCCCTTTTTGGTTGTCAAGTAAAAAAAGAAAAAACAGAAAAAAAAAAACCTAAAGGGCGAGAGGATAAAGTTTGTCCATGTGCTGGTTGTCATCTTCCTTCTTACATCCAACTATAAACAGAAACATCCAACTATAAACAGAAGTTCAGAACATTTTCAAAGTTGAATCATTTCCATAATGGTACAAGGTGATTTTTGTGAAAATTAATCATATTCAAATCAAATCTATCAAGTAATGGAGAGTGGGGGAAAGATTTATCTACCATCAATGAAATTTATTATAAACAATATTTAGATACTTACTCTCCACCACTCATTTTTATGATAACCAACCATGAAAATATTTAACAGAATATTTATCTCCTCCACTTGTAGTGGTGAGTAAAATATAGGTGCTGAAGAAAAAACAAAACATCTCTTTTACATTTCTATTTACCCAGTTCATATCTTTCTTTCGTGCGTTTCCGGGAGGAATTCGATCTCGAAATACAACATAAATAATAGCGGCCAGAGGGTCAAATGATTCGACAAGAAAGAGTCAAAAGTCGATCAAACAACATACATCTTGATTGGTTTCCCCACCAATAAATCGTAAAATTCACGTCCAATAAACAAAATCTAAACGTGTGTTCAAATCTAATATGCGTTGGGCAAACATTTGAAGCTGTATATTAATATGTAGTCAGCTAGTTTTCCCTATAAATCAAAATATTTCAACGCTACCAATAGGCAATAGCATACTAATTAAGCAGTGAGTAAAGATGCTTATTTTTCAGAAACAGAAACAAAATATATAGTTGTGAAACAGAGCAGAGCTACAATACAAGTATTTAGTTTTGAAGCAGTGCAGTGCCAAATTCAAACCTGAAAGGGCAGACCCCTCCTATCCCTGCCTGCTCGTATATAATATATGAACACTATACCAACTGAAAGATGAGAGAGACACAGACACAGAGAAAAAGAAAGGGGACCCAGCGACTCTGAAATTGAGCACAAGCATTGTATTGTACAACCCAGAATTTGACCTTTTCAGAAGGATAATTAATCCTCCCAATAGATTCTTATATCAAAACCAACCTCCACCATCTACACATATGGCTATGTCTCAAGCTCCCAACTATAATATATTACAAAAACCCAAACTTAAACACACATTTTCTCGTAAATGGTGCTGTTCATTGTTCAAGTTTAATGAAAATTTTAACATCTTATAAATGGAAACGTACAAGTACAAGACATAAATGTTATTAAAAAGAAAAGCAGTTGCAGTACAAAGGAAATTAAATGGGCAGAGAAAAAAAGAAAGTGGGGACAGGTGGAAAAAAGGGCGAGCTGAAATCAGAGGAGGGGATGGTGAGTGGGTGGAAGAATAATGGGGTGGCATTTCCAACACAATAATAATAAGAATAAAAAACAATAGATGATTAATAGGCATGCATTTGCATTTAGCATTGCAATGGAAATGCAACTTTTCATGCATTATTATAATTCTATATGTACGTGGAATGACCCTACATGATATGACCAACCATGCATTGACTCTATTCTTTTTCTCATTCAAACTCCTTCATCATTCACCACTTTGCAGCCACCAATTTCCTGTTTCCAGACTGTTTGATTTGATTTCCAACGCCATTCCTTCTTTTCTTCCCTTCTTTTTCACTATACAAAAATTAGTTACCTGCACTACCCCCATCAAAATTTTAACTGAAGATTACTGTGCATCTTTTCAATTAACAGAATTTTTTTATGCTTTTAACAAAACCCACACCCCACACGTCTATACATCAAGGTTACTGCTCTTTCTTGGTAGAATTCTACTTTTGAGATCCAACGACTTGCATAGTTGCAAGAAGCTACAGTACTTCACAATTAATTGGAGGAAAACAGGCAAAGAAATATTCTAATATCCGCATAATTCATAAGCAAAGGTTTACCCTAGTTCAAATTGGTAATGGCAACTCTTACTTAATTATCAAGGAGTCAGGGGGTTCTGTGAAGTGTCCTTAATTGAGGGTCTTGGTTAGAGAAGAGCAAAAAAAGATCATAAAGGAAGGATATAACACTATGTCAAAAAAGACCTTATTCAAACAAAGTTAACGTCTGATCAGTTGGAGCCTTTTGGTGAAAAATAGGATCACAGTAGAAATGTCAGCTTTGAACAAAAAAGCTTATTTGAAGGACTGTTTTCAAATTGAACATTAAATAGCAGGGGCTTCCGTTAAAATAATAGCCTATCCAAAGAGTGAAGAACCGCTCTGGACGGTCATGTGATCATCACGTGTCATCATAGTCTATAAACTAACAGGTTGAGGAATGAATTAAAAAGTATCATTTGAAACGAAAAAAATGACTAAAAATAAAAGTAAATATAAAAGAGTTCGAGTGGACAAAAAAAGGTTAAAATCTTCTCGACATAAAGAGAAGTTATGGGGCTTTCAACTAAACATTGAAGTGACCAAAAATCTAACCCACAATTCTGTTCAAGGAATTTGTAGAACAACAAAATGGATCATCCCTCTTCAAAAACATTCAAACAACACATAGAAATATTAATTATAAGGAGCCACCATGATACTTGTTCTTTCTACCATTCAACAGATTAAAGTAAAAGCCAACTGCAAGAACAAACAACTAATCTGTAAATTATGTCATAATGAAATTTTGTTTGAGGGGATATAATTAATGTATCTTTAGTGACACGAAGAATTAGGTTTAAGGGAAGGAAGGCCAAATTTGTTAATGGAGATGATTGGTCCCCAATCCCATCACAGTTCAGGAAATGGGTCAGGCCTTTTTTAAGTTGGAGCAGAGCAGGGCAGAGCAGGGCAGGGAGCAGCTGGCTGCCATTGCCATTTTCTGATTTAGATCTCATCTTCTCTTTCTTTTGGGAGTACTCTCCACTTCTAACCTACGGTTACTCGATTACTCTCTACATCTTTCTTTGTCTTCCTCCTCTTCCTCTCTCTTTCCTGTTTTTTCCTTAACTGGCATTTGATTTATTTTATTTATTCAATTTTCTGATTTATAGGGTATTTTACAAATTTCATATAGCTCGTTAAATTTTAAAAAGTCCAAGAACCACAAGGGTCCGTATTAACCTTCAACCACCCTAGATCCTCTCTTTATTTAAGATGTAATACCACTATTATTTGTTATTTAAAAAATCGTATTTAAAAATTTTAGTTCTTACTAGTTAAAAATTCAACTGCGACAGAAATTGTGTACATTATATCTAATTTGAGACATGGAGATTTATTTTTATATTTAAAAATAAATTACAAAGTACAAACAAAAATTGAAGTCAAATCACACATTTCATCTCTATATTTCATGTTTGAGTGATTTCATCCCTGTGCTTTGAAAATTTTCAATATTTTTTCATACCTAACTCATTAGTCTCAACAATCCGTCATAATGTTCAGTATAATAAAAAATAATAATTAAATGAAATGTTCACATGTTTGTATTTATTTATTTTCCCCACTTGTTAAAGTTTCGAATTTTGTCATGTACTCTTATAATAATCACTGTATTAATTAGTATAGAATGTAATAATGATATTGATATAAACTGACATGACATCAATGTAGTTAAATTTTACAATGAAATGCAATAATACAAGGACTAAAGGAATAATTTAACCAAAGTGATGAATTATAAGGATGGAAAGAGAGATTAAGATAGGACATGGTTGTCACAGTCAGAGTGATGGCTGTAGGCATTATGGGGGTAGAAATGGAGCCCAGATATCAGATATTTCAGAGGCCATCATTGTCCCAATCCTTTGACTCATTTATACTGATGCAACCCTTCCTTTGACCCTATAAAATAAAACTCTCTCTCTCTCTCTCTCTTGCTTTTAGTATTAGGTTCAATGCCCACAGCCCTGTTTTCTCTCTTCATCCATTTTTATCCGTTTTGGTTGGAGAATATCTTGTCAACACAACCCTTGCTTCACTTCTTCTCAATCTTACCTCATCACCTACAGTACTCACTACCATTCAACAACTCTTCCCTCCACCTTTACAACTTTACCCTTCACATCTTTCCTTATTTCAAAACTCTCTTACACCTAAAGAGGCGTTTGTGTTCAGAGTAAATAATAAGAATATAAAGTTCAAATGAATATGAATAGAATTGTATAATCTAATCTCATATAAACTCATCACTGCATACTAACACACTTCTTCAAGTGACTCTACGACTTCAAAACTACACCAGAGAGATGATATTGTACTAAAACTTATCTAATTGTACTCTCAAATTAAAATTTAAGACAGAAAATGCTTCAATTTCTTTATATCTTATGTTTTTTATTATGGGAATCCCGTATCATGAGTGGTCTCTATTGTATTCACTAGAATTGCAAGGAGGGTCAACTGGTAGTCGGAGGGGCTGGGGTGTTGGAAAATTGCATCTTTCTTTTTTTCCTTGATCAGTAGATTAATGTGCTCTAGCTTTCAAAGTACAATTTCTTGCCCTGCACACTTGGTTAGTTGCATTAAGATATCAAAATTGGGTTAAATATCAAGGAAAAGTACCTTCCCCCAGCTTCTGTTTGTTTGGCTGTCAAGAAAATTCTCCACTATGAGAGATGCCAATTGAGGGTGTTTCAAGTTCCCATATAAAAGGAAGATACTGGACGTCAAATGCCCTTCCGATTGCTCACTTCCACGAAACAAACACCAATAGAACTGAATTCCTGTCCAATAATATATACACATTTGCTATCTACATTCTTTTGTTCAGTTAAATATAATTAGTTCCGAACAATAATGACTATCCACCTCCCACCCCCAAAAAGAAAGGCACATCCTGATCCTACTGTGAAGCACACAAGAAGTTCGAGTTCTTCTTCCTTTGTCATATTTCAGACAGACTAATAAAGTTCCCATTCTAATCTTGGCAAAAGTGGTCTAGTGGTAAATGGAGTTTCTTGATTGGATGAGTTCAATGATAAGACCCCCATCGTGTTTCTTTAATTCCAAGTGGGCTTTATCATTCAACAGGTCTGAAAATCGGCAAAGGCAAAGTAAAAAATGACGTAGGGGGAAGAGAAACTGATTGTATACATATACATTAACAAATTAGCTTGCGATACATATCCAGTTGAATTCTTGATTATTTTCAAGGATTTAACTGGATTATATACTCTAGACTTCCTATAACCAAGTTTGGAAAAAAATTATTAAAGAAAAAATCAAATGTGTACAGAGTAAAATTTCATTCAGTAGAGCAGCTAAAAGTATATAACATTACGAGGCTTTGACTGAAAGTGTTGCATTTCGAACGGTCATCTCAAAACAACGTTCAACTTGCTCTGAACCTGTTCTCTCACATTCCTCTGCAATTGCAATACACAATCTTTGAGGATCTATCAACAGTTCATTCTAAAGGGATGCAACTTAAAGCTAGTAAGTACCTGCAAATCATTGATTTCTTCATCTGTGAGTGATCGTTCCATAGATCGGTAAGCAATCCTGTAACAATGACTCGTCATCCCTTTCTTCTTGTTGGTAAAATTGTCTATCAATTGCACCTGCCAGCATCCATTTGTAAAGAATAAAAATTATTTTAGTGAACGAGATGGAACTGTTAGGTAACTGGAACAGACCAGATTTTGAGGTGCATCCATGAGCAATAAAAAGGTTTCCAGGTTTACACGTGCAGCTTTAGTTTTGAACAATCAAACTTTAGAGAGCAGATCACTAAGAATAGCTAGATAACAAGCCTCAAAAAGAACAATGTTCTCCTGCCCCTACCTAAAGCATGTCCTTCACAATAGTTATCTTAAAAACTCCTCTTTTTTTTTTTTCTGAAATCCGTGTGTCCGGACCAGCTTGCACGCATCTCGACTAATTACGGGCCAACCGCCTAACCTCACTACATTTGGTTGACAAGGTAACTCGTAGGATATTAAATCCTAGGTAGGTGGTCACCACGGTATTATCTTAAAAACTCTTTAAGCCCCTCAAAACAATTAATAACATACCTCTTCAACAAGATCACCGGCAATTCCTCTAACAACTTCACATAAATTATTCTCAGTGAAAGATTCATTGATCCAAAAGCTAATGTCCTTGTAGCAAGGTGGAAACTGCAGCAGATGCAATTACTTAAGCTTTTTAAAATAAATTAGTAGACATAATTTGTTAGAAGTCTAGTCGTACTGAAAAATAGTAAAATATAATTAAAAGAAATAAAACTACAAATTGCTCTCTAAAAAAAAACTTAATAATGCTCTGCCCTCTCTAGGTCTAAAATGTTTGGGTAACAGTACCTTCGAGAATGGTTTAAATTTAACACCTAGCTTGCCCTTTGAGAACTGCAAATAAAAATACGAACTTGGTGATTAAATAATTTATTTTTGAGAACGTACCTGAAGAACAAACAGAATGGAAAACAATGAAAGAGTTGTTTAAATGATGTTATTAGGTACCTGGGAGGTAAATCGCTCATCGGCTGACCAAAATAGTCGAATATCAGGTATATCAAAAAGAACCATAGCTAGCCGTTCCAATCCAAGTCCAAAAGCCCATGCAACATTATTCGTTTTACCACTTCTTGTCAGTATTTCTTGCTCCATCACCCCACATCCCAATACTTCCAGCCATTTCTCCTGCATTGGTAGGACATCAAATAACCCTCACACACACGACTACTTTCTATTATATTCTTGTTTGAAAAAGAAAGAGAGAAAACAAACTATAAATTCAAAGAAGGAACTAACAGCAACCACAAATAATTTGACAAGGAAATCTCACAATTCAAACATTATCCATTCATTCATTAATAGGATTTAAGGGAGGACAAATAGGATTCAAGGAGGCAATAATAGCTGAGATCTGGTTGTGGCCAACGCCAATTAGAGGAACTTTTTATAACCCCCTTGCCTTTGTTGGGTTGATTCCTCGTCACCTTTGTACTTTATGGTTTACTCCACGGAAGTTTTTTTATCCCAAAAAAAAGGTTTGCATTTTCCAACTTATCAACAGTTGTTCTTTACCTTTTTGTTCCATTGTCCAACTTATCAACAGTTAAAAAGCAGTAGGGTTCTTATATAACTACTATTTTAAGTTCATATAAAATAACTCAGAAATGTTACTGCATAATCGAAGTTTAAACTTCACATGGATAAACTTAAATTTATTTTGATAGTGAATGAAATTCATTTATGAAAGATGTAATGCAGTGTGTCATAATCAAATCATTGGAGCAAATTGACTAAAGGATTATCAAGATACCTGAAAGAAAATCTCAAGTTCAAATGATGGGTTTGTAAATGGGAAATATGTATCAACCCAGCGCATTTCAACAGCACCTGAAAGTTTAAATATATTAGTTTATGATAATACAGCTCCATCATGTGTACAACCACTGTGAAATTAAATAATTTTTTTAAAAAAATTCAAAGTACAATTAGGCAAGTAAGCAATTTATTCTTCAGAGTTATCTAAAAAACGTCTCAGCTTTTGGAAGAAGTTTATTCAAATCATATGCAAAATAATAATCATCAACACTCGTTGAATGCAACATATTGTTATTCCACTACTTTGTCTTTTAACCGCTTAATCTGCCGGTGTTATTATTTTGTCATTACCCTAAAATTATTGCATTTTCCAATAGAGCTACCAACGCATATCTAAGGCATAAAGGGAAGAACCATACATGGCCTTAATTCATATACAAATCTTAGTATCTTACCAAATAAATGCCTTGCCAAACCTTCCAAGCATTTTTTTAAGTCATTAGCTGCATAAGATGTTCCATCTGTGCCAGATGCCTCCCAATCATCCACAGAAACAACACGGACACCTTCCATCTGAGAAGTAGGCAAAGAAATTCATCAAATGAGAAATTTAGTAGATTCAGCTGAAGGCTTGATTACTATATTCATTTAGATTACCTGATGAAACACAGGGTAATGAGTTGAGTCAATGGAATCCCGACGGTACACATCTCCCGTCACAAGAAATTGAGTATTTCCTCTTCTCAACAGCTCCGCTTGATGAGCACTTGTATGACATCTTAGAACTGTTTGGGAGTCAATATAGTACGTATCATTATAACTTCGACTTACATGATCTGCTGGAACCAATACATCATCAAAATTCTGCAAACATAAACATAGGATTAAGATACAAAAGGCATAGTATAAAATTCAATACTTCAAACAACACGTGAGCTTTTGTAATTTAGGAAAAAGAACTTAACCAATTGCCTGGAAAGATGACAAACTACCAAACTGAGCCCACTTTTTCAAAAAGAAAAAAATATTAATAATACAATACGTAAAGCATAAAAGAAATTCTTTTCCTACAAGAACTACTCGTTTGAATTCTGAGCCCAATTTCTAGATCTAGTTCTAGAGAAAAGTTATCTTTCCTTCCTCTTCCATGAGAGACTTACTCTTCCATAGAAGAGGAAGTTTTCAGATCTGAAAGCTCTTCCAGATCTAAAACCCATTCTAGAAAACTCATATCCATTATGTAACTTTCTAGATCAGAGAATCTTCAATTACTCTAATCAATTTATTAAATTCTGGCGTTCAAGAATGTTTTAATGCTATCAAATGTCATATATCTCTCACATACACGCACAATCACATAAATGCACATTTTGGCAATCAAGAACGCTTTAATGCTATCAGATGTCATATCTCTCTCACATACACGCACACTTTCATTTCAAATTCACTACATATTTGGAGAGAGAGAGATCAATGTTAGTTTACTCTAATAACAATTGATGAGTTTGAGAAGCTTACCTCCTTCACGGAAACGATTGGACTGAGGTCATCAAACTTATCGAACTTATTTGAGTAATTTGTATCAAAATAGTTATATATCTCATTCTTCAGAATACCAAGTGGATGGTTATCTCTTCTGTGGAGTTGCATGCCAAGTTTTGAAAAAATATTATCTGGAACATTGTTAGTAGGATCATCCCTCACAACATCTGCAAGCATCCAATCATATTAGTAAATCAATTATGGTAAAATTTAACTTTAAATGGCATAAATTCCATAAAGAGATGGTCGATTGACACGAAGTTCAACAAGCACCTATCAAATTAATTAGGTAAGAATAGCTTTGATAACTTAACAAAAAAGAAGCATGAAATGTGGTGAAGGATTACAAAACTTCAAATCAGGGGGAAAATGCAACAACAGACAACAACTGCAGAAACATTTTTAGAAGTAGTTCTATCTCCTTGGCACCAACATAAAACTGGAATTCTAGAAGAGATTAATTATAACTCAGAAAGGCAGAACCAAACACTTAGGGCATATAACTTTAAAAGTTATTTTCTCCTTTAGGGACTACAAATAAGCACCACTGCTCTACCGAGCGAGCCATGTATTGTAAGTAATCTGAACCTACCCGGAGCGTGCCTTCCATAGAGGCAAGTGAAGTTGGTGAGCTGTATGATGGGCGACTATCTCATGGGGTTCGGAGAGGACTCAACAGTTAGTTAGTAACCCTTGGTTTTAGGGTGGACCCTTTCACTCTATTTTATTATATACGCCTTGTGAAAATAATGTTTTTTGATACACCTAGGACATGGATCGAGTATATATTGATCTCTATATGCCATATTATTAAGTTGACATCAATTTAAAAAATGAACGAATACAACAAAGTAAAACATCTCTCTTCAAACAGCTTCCTAAACTAGAAGAGATAAGTAAACAGAGGGAAAAACTACACTGAGGAAACAGTGTTAAGAAATAGTTTTCAAAGATCAAACCAACAGAGCCCTTCAGCATTCCCTAATTCTTAGTCACAATGTTAAAATAAAACGTGAATTACGGGAAGAATCAGAGAAAGAAACTTTGGTTGAAGTGTTCACCCTAATGTTCAGAGCACGAAGCAGCAAAACAATTAGATAACCAGGAACTAACTGAAAATTTTCAATTGTCTAAGATAGTAACTACACATATTACATCGTCACAGAAAATTCAACTAAATCGACCAGAAAAATCTAAGAAGTGGGAATAAGTCCAGGTCGCGGAATACAGAAGCCGATTTTACCTTAGGCAGTCGTAATAGAACGGGAAAGAATAGTAAAAAAGTGAGATAGTTTACCATCTTTGGCAATTACGACGCCGCCGAGCTGAAGGAGTGAAGACACCGGCTGTCTCCATTTCTTACGGTGAACGGTATCGGAGGAGGAGAAAGATGCAGAGAAGGCGAAGTTTCTGAGGCAATTCCTGCGCAGAAGAATAGAAGCATTGGTGAAGAGAATGGCTCGCGTTAGTGGCAGAGTGGATGCCATGCTCGTCTCCTCCACTTTCCTGGTCCTGCTCGGTTCTACACAAAGCTTATCGGGAGGCGCCCTTGCTTGCAATAGCAAATCCAACCAACCATGGGCTTGCCGAGGCCCAAGTTACCTTCAAGGCCCAATAATTTCAGAATACCAATTGGTTTCAGGAAAGCCTGTTTTAATGTAGTTTTATTGTTTCCAGGACAAATCTTTAATAAAACTATTATTTTAATTTTAAAAATATTAAAAGAATATGCTAGTAATTGTTATAGGGAATAAATAGGTGTCAATTACCTATACTACATATTTAAACTATTATTCTTTTAAAAATCACTTCATATGAATTTAAACAACTTAACATAACACTAAAAACAATGTTAAAACATATCCTACAAAACAATCACTACCACGTTTTTTGTATAATATATAAATTAATTTTTTAGACATAAGTAAACATAATTTTCAAAATAATTTCTTTTTGACAAGTTTAATGGAATAAATGACGTCTTTTCGAGAAAAAGGTAGAGAAAAGTTTTAGCTAGAAAAAATTTAAAAAATAATAAAAAAGAAAGGAAAAAGTTTGAAATTGCAATAAATTTTTAGATTTTTAATCATAATTCATAAGTAAATTTCAAAACACCAAAATTAGAAAGACTAGGAGAACGTTTTGAGAGGCAAGAAAAACAAAATTAAAAGTAAAAAAAAAAGTTAAAGATTTGGAAGATAAAGCTATAAAGAACTAGAAAAACATTTTGGAAATAAAAAGTT